AGAAGGCTAAAACACAGCCTGAAGTCAGAATGGACCTTTTTGCACAATTCCACCTGCCAGCAGTGCTCCAAGGAAGCTTTATTCACATTTATATGTTCGTTCCCATCTATTGCTCTGGGGTAGAGAATGCACAGTCTCCTGGTCAACATTAATACAGTCTTACCCCCATAAGAAGCTGCTGGTTGGCACACCCTGAATGTGTCACTTAGGGGGCTGAGGTGTGGCCAGTTCAGGGTGACAGACCTGCCTGCTCTGCTTGGCAAATTGAGTCTGGCTTTGTGATCATGTCAGGTTGCCAGCACAGAACTTCTGGGAAGACAGGCTGACCCCTCTGTGTGCAGGTAGGCAGCCAGGACTGCAAGATGATCCTTGCAAAGTTGCAGAACTTGCACCACAGGCAGCTCAGGTGTCTGGTCACCATCGTAACAGCAGAAAAAAACAGCCACTCTAATACCTGTTAACCTAAGGGACCCTCTTGTCATTCCATTCTGGTTTCTAGAAGCAGAGCTTTATTATACATTTGATCCCAAGCAATAGGGTCTTGTGTCTCTGTCTCAAGAGTCACGAACCAAGGAAAACTTGTGTTATTCCCAAAGGCTCCAGTCCAGTTAGATGCTGAACATCTCAGGCTGCGCCCAGCCTTCCCCAATGGCTTGGCTACATTTGCTAACCACATGTGAAGAGCAATCATGATGCTGGAAAAAAACCAAACATCTGTGCCTAGAAATACAAACCTTGCCTAAGAGCACACAGGATGGAGGGAGAGGCCAGATAAGCTTTGATGTCACCCCCTGAGAGATGAGGTCGTAATACCCTGCATGGCCTAGAGCTTCTTTAAAAGTCCACAGAGAAAAGAGATCTTCCAGATCCTGCTTTATAGACCTGATCTCACAAGAACTGCACTCAAGAGGACTGCTTGCAAGACAAGAACTTCCAGGGAATATAAAGTGACAAGGAATAGGGTTGGGCCTTTTCCAATCAGAAAATTCATCCATCCAGCCATGAGATTCTGCTTCATATAAGAAATCTGTTGCCAATAGCCAGACAGAAGGGCACCTTCAGCACAGCACTGTAAGTGCCCTGCCAATCAAACCATTCCATGGGCACAGAGACATGTGGAGCCTGGTTTCCTATTTCACCTCCTCCCTGTACCATGCAGATTATCTGATACCAGTAATACACTCTGAGCTCATACTGGAATCATCTGAACATCAGGGGCATTAATTCAGCTCTTCCTGCTGTATCCAGTGCCTGTTTTCCAGTAACCTTTAGTCATGAAGAACCTTTGAGACTCTACCCATTCCCTAAACCCTGCATTCTTAAACCAAGCTAGCAGACAAAGTAAAATGCCCTGTCTTTGTCATCTGAGGAGTACTCCAGGGAAAAAAAAAAAAAAAAAGTCAATTTTCCTGCCAGATCAGTAGGCAAACAATACTCGTAGCTCTTCAGGCTGTTTATTCTTCACTGGTACAACAAGGCAGAATGCCACCACACCATCCTACCCTATGCAAAGGCATGAAAAACCATGGAAGCTTTGCAGAGACAGAAGGATCCTGAAGGAAAACCAATAAGGAACTTCTCTCAAGTAGGTAGATGTGTTACTTCTCAATAAGAGAGTTTTCTGCATCTACCATTTTTATAAAAGGACTCCCTCCCTACTGGCAGTTTCTACAGAACTGGGAGCCTCTGCCAGGTGAATCCTGATAACAGCTGTATTTAAATTTGCTTTAAGGTCTTTGGGTACTGCTCATTAATATGGACTCTCACCTGCTTCAACAAGGCTGAAATTTTATTCTTGGTCTTTTCTCCTGCAATGCTCCACCTATTGGAGCTTGACTTAGAAGGAGGAAAATTGTCTTATCAGGGCAAACTCAAAATGCAAACCATGCCTCCTGCAAACCCAGTTCCACCCAAACCCCCATCTGTGAGACCAAGACTACAGCCCAGCCTCCTTGGACTGTGCAGCCAGAGGAGAGCAGAACTTTGCTCTGACAGATGGTTTAACCAGGAAAACTGCAAATAGATGTGGGTAAACATCGGTGGAATTAACAAAGCCACAAACAGAAAACAGAAGTGACATTTCATGGCAACAAGGCAAGCCAGAGTCTATGACTACAGACAGCAGTCTATGCCCTAAATGTGACCCCCTAACACAAGGGAGCTTGGATTCCCAAACTAAACTTTGCCAGGTCCCACGTGGAAAACAAAGCCTTCCCCTTTGGTTAGGGGGTGCCTTGGTTTGTTGGTACATCAGAAGAAAGCCATGACAAAATACAACAGTGTTCACATCACAGAACACAGACTCCTCATTCTGCCCAACTTTGTAACAAAAAGAGAGTGAGAGACCACCACTACTATAGGATAAGAACTTCCTACACTCAAAGTAAAAATAAGTTCATTTTTACACCTCTCAACACAAAAATGTTCCCAAGGGGAAAAAAAAAAACTTTCTTTCTGATGTCAACTTTACAGTTCATCTCCTCAGACAAAGTTATCAATCTGTATGCAACTTAAATCAACAGTTGGTGCCCATGCAGCCAATAACATCTTTACATGCTGAACCTCTGCCCAACAGGCAGAAAGAAAGTAAAGAGCCCGATCCTGTGACAAGGACCCTCACTGCCAGCCAAGCTGCTAAACCTCAAGTCATTTGCTCCCCAAGCTCAGCTCCCTGCTGGAACCTCACAGAGGAGTCACCCTCACCCCAGGACAGCACCAAGTCACCAAGATGCTGTTGGAATTTGTTCAAAGCAGAAACATGCAGGTAGACACATGCAGAAACAGGACACTATTAGAAGAAAACAGAAGATTTTTAAAATTTTAAATGGTGTTAAGATAAAACACAAACTTTAACCAAAATAATGGATTACAGACAAAGAAAAAAATTTCATAGCCTCACTGGAAAAGTTTAAAAGAGCTGCAAACACTAGGTTCCCTCTAAGACACCATGACATAGGGGGAATTATATTTTTACTCATATTTAAGAGGTTTAGAATTATGAAAAGTCCAGACCTCAACATTTCAGTCTGAAAATCCTTCAGCTAAATTTAGGAGGAATAGATCAGGATTTCCAATCAAAACATCCTTATTAGTTGAAAAAGGTGATATGGGTTAGAAACAGTTGCACGAGTTCCTTCTGCAAGGCGTGTGTTCCTCTGGATAGCAGCATCAACTTATTTGATACATTACTGTACAACTGGCAAGTTATTGACAAGTATTGTAATTAAGGCTACCTCTGAGTAGAGATGGAGGTTAAACGGGTGTAAAAAGCATCCCACTTGTAAAAAGCACAGACAACATCGTTTATTTCCTGTGGAATTGCTCAAGTGTCTTCCAAAAATAGCCAACAGTTTTGCTGAAAGGCTCAAACCAAATAGTACTTCTGAAGGAATATCTTACATAGTTTACATAATAGGCATCTCAGAAAGCGGGGAAAAAAGGATGTGTACAGTATTTCAGTGTGAATTCTGCACTGAACAAAAAGACATCGTTCTTTGCTTAGCACAAGGCTGAAATTCACCACGAAGAAAACTGCTGAGGTCAAAGCCTCAGGGCTCGAGCCGAGAGGGAGATATTCTCAAGGGAAGAACTTTTTTATCCTTGATCCGGATCAAAATACGACATGGAAAAGGAACATTCAGCTTGTTTAAGCCTCAAAAAGGAGAAGCTCAACCCTAGCCAAAATATATTCACGAAAATCTAACCCATTTTTAAGTTGTTATCAGATCTACCTCTGCACACTTTTGCTTACCTTTTATTATTTAACACCTCATCCTTATCTCCTGACCCTTCCTGCTAAACAGTGTCTCAGTTTATAACTAAATTCCACAAGTGTAGAGTGCCATAACCACTGGTGCTTCATATTCAGCTGTATCTCCTCACAACCTGAAAGTTAACACTAACTTATATTCCTCAGTGAAAGTCTCTCCTTTATGGGTAAAATACTGAATGCTTCACAAAAGAAGAATTGTTGCAAACAATCGTGTAGCAGTATGAAGAGGTATGTCAGATGACAAAGTAAGCAATGCCTTTTTTTTTTCTTTTTCTGAGAGCCCAGAGATTTTTTGCATCAGGGTAACAACAGCTGAAGGGTCTAAAATTTGCATTAGCAAGTGCTTTGGGGTTGTTTTCCTTTCCTCCTTAGAGGAACCAAGCTGTGCTTTTCTCTTCCCAAAGAGACAACCGTTTTCAGATCATGCAAATTTCTTTTTCCCAAAAAAATCTTTTTTTCCCAAAAAAACAACTGTTTTCAGACCGTGCAAAACTCCTGCCATACACAGCTAACTCTCGATTATTATTGTCATTCCCATGTCCCTGAGCACCACCAGGGCGTGAGCAAGGAAGTGAACTAGATCAACAGTTGACAGAAATTTGTGGAAAATCCTTCCTAGGAAAAGAACTTGTGTATATTCGATAAGAGATAGGGCAGGGCTTGGCAGGACACACTTGGTTCCAAGCTGCTAAATACAATAACTCCATCAGCAGCCCCAGGAGCTCAGGCTCTACTACCTGCCCCAATATTAACTACAAATATGGTTGCCATCTGGTGGCTAACACAGAATGAAGTTTAGCATCTGTGATGAGTTCAAGTGGACCAGACTCCCTGGCCTGTCCCCTCTGGAAGAACAGTGGGATAAAGAAAACCACAGATGTGGCCATGCTCACTCTTGTGTACAGAGTGAAGCCAGGACCTTGCTGCTGAGCTCCATACTGGATCTGGTATGATCCATACTGGATCACTGGGGTTTTTTACAAGCAGTCGGACGTGTTCAAGGGATGCTCCTAGTCTCAGCAAATGAGCTAAAAGTAGTGGATGCAGCATAGGCAACATCAAATCCAAGTGGTTTGTGCTGCCATTCTGACCCAGCAGCGTTTTTGAGCAGTGTCAGAGATCGGTACAAGGCTCAGGCTAGCACCGCATTTAATCCCAACTCTCCTAGATTAAATCTAGCTGCTAAAGATAACTCGCAGGGAACACGAGCAGCAGTGGGCAGATCTGCTCGTCCGCCCTCCCTCAAAGATGCACCAGTCCTTATTCAGTCAATGTCATCTCACAGCAAACCGCTGAAAACCAAGACGAGCGTGCCTGCATTAAAAGCAGCTGATCAATGTCCCTGCGTAAAACGCCCGATAATCCCTACACAGAGCTGGCATCTGGCATCAGATGCAGCATGCCAGAGAGATGAACAGGAAAAGTATCCATTGCATGTTCCTGGCACCTTCTGCTGGCACACGGGTGGGCGGAGAGCAGCGAAAGGGCTCCCGGGATTCAAAAATCCCCCCGTCTCAGCGGATCGGCACAATCTTTAAAGGCCGTATGGCTTCGGCGGAGCCACCATTCCAAAATGAGGAGTTCAAGGTCAGTACAGCAAGTAGCGACTATCGCGCGATGCTGCTGGAAGATAAGGGGCAAGGATCCATCTCCTTTCCCTCACCATCTTTGAGGTTACGCATTTAGCGCTATGGCAAAAATACAGAACCGCTCTCGAAAACGCTGCATAAAGCACAACCTAAAAGCCACAAGGAAAGGTCTCCTCCTGTTGAAACAATAAGCATCCGCGGATCCAACAGGAGCGTGCGGCGCTCCGCGCTCCCCGGCGCTCCCGGCCAGCCGATGCCATGTTTCCGCAGGCGGACGGGGAACCCGCGCCGCTCCGACAGGGATCCTCGGCATGCTCAGGATGCAGAGGGGCCCCAGTTCCGCAGGCAGGGAAGGCGGCTGCCACCCCCCACAAGCGCCCACTGCCAGACGCATCCCTGCTCCGGGCAGGGCTGTCATCCCCGGTACCCGCGTCCCCCGCTCCCAGCCCCGCATCCCGGGGATGCCCCCCTTCTCCCCTACCTTCTCCTGCGCCCGGGTCAGCTTCTTTTGGACGTTGCTGGCGATTTTCCCGGCTGTGACCCCCTTGCTGCCCAGCTCGGCCATCTTGCCTCCTCTTTTTAACGGGCTGCGAGCGACGGAGCGGCAGGAAGGGGGGGAAAACCCGGCGGGCAGGCGATGGCCCCGGCCGTCACCGCCGCCGCCGCCCGCCGCCTTTTAAAGGGATAGCGCTGCCTTAAAGGGACAGGGATGGGGGCCGGTTCTGGACGGATCTCCCCCACCCTGCCTCCTGCAGGTCCCGGCCGCCGCCTGTCCCAGAGGAGGCCAACAGGGTGGGAAAGTCTGGGAAGCATCGCAAGGGATTAAGTTAAGGTGTTGGAATGAGTTTGCTGCCGCCTTTCATCCCGCAGCAAAGAGACGCTCTTGTTTTAAGAGATATGTACCACTAGTTGTTATCGCTGATTGTTCAAATCCATAGGACAAAGGTACCTCTCAAATTACTCCTGGATCTTCACAAGCGCAACATTACTCCTAGATCTTCACAAGTTTAATTCCTTAAGGAAGGGCATCTAGAAGTGAATAAACCTCTGATTGAAAAAGGTGAAATGAAAATTCAGAGTCCAAACTTTAATCATGGAATTATTAAGGTTGGAAAAGCCCTCTCATATAATTAAGTCCAACCATTACCTCAGCATCATTGTGTTCACCACTAAACCATAGCCCCAAATGTCACATTCCCCCACTGAACACTTCTAGAGATGGTGATTTCACCATATCCCTGGGAAGCATATTCTAATGCCTGACCACCCTTTCAGTGAAGAAATTTTCCCCAATATCCAATCTAAACCTCCTACAGCACATCCTGAAGCCATTTTTGCTAGTTCCGTCAATTGTTACCTGGGAAAAGAGAACAACCTCCACCTTGCTACAATCTTTTTTCAGGTGAATACAGAGAATGACAACCTTGCAGTTGAGACAACCACAATACACAGAGTATCACCATACGATTTCAGAAGGCTTGAACCCATACAGAGTAATACCTTACCTCATCAAAAGACTTCAAGTATCTTCCCTTCTTGTTCTTTAGCCCAACATTTTATATTCTTCATCTTACATGCAGTGCCCCTGTATGCCCTCTGCTCCCTTTGGTGGTTGCTCAGTGCTCCTGGGCACTCCATGGCTCATTGCTGTCAGTGCTGCTCACCTGCTGCTCACAGCTGAGCCCACTGGGGATGAGGCTGGGCCACAGCCCCACCCCGATTACCACAAACCGTGTGCCTACATTATGAGGTCTCCCCTGACACTCCTTTCCTCCAGGCTGAATCCTTCCGGCTCTCTCAGCTGTTCCTCATGGAACTTGTACTCCAGACCTTTCACTAGCTTTATTCCTCTTCTGTGGACCCACTTCAGCACTTCAATGTCTTTCCTGAATTGTGTGCCCACAAAACTGAACACAGGATTTGGGGTGTGGCCTCCCCAGTGCCAGGTACAGGGAGATGATCACTGCCTGGGTGCTGGTGGCCACACTGATTCCATTTGTGATGCCATTGGCCTTCTGGGCCACCTGGCTTTGGTTTTGCTTTGCTAAATCTACTGGGCAAATACCTTTTGTGAAACTTTATTCCTTTACACGTCAGGACAGAGTTCTGTTTCCTGGAATACAGGAAGCCACCTCAGTGCTGTTATTCACATCCTAATACTCAGCGCCCAGCCCTCCCTCAGTACCACACACCAGCGCCTGGGAGAGTGGTGGGGAAGCTTCCTTCCTTCCTTCCTTCCTATCCTGCTTCTGCACACTCATCCCAGTTCTTTGTGGGAGCTTGGGACTCTGTGCCCTCAATACCCAGTGCAGTACCAACCAATCCAGTGCTCTGCAGGATATTCAGACATATAACAGTGACCAATACATTTACCTGTATTTAAGATGGAAACATCTATTTTAATTCAATGATGGGACTGAAACCTCCATGTGCCCCCAGACCATTTCACACAGTCATTATTTTTCCAGATGAAGATCGTTATCTTCAGTTTCACACACACAGGAACAGTGTAGCACACACTACTGCAATGCAAAGCAACAGATAAATGTTGAAGGTGATAACTTAAGAGAGCTAGGCCAGGTCTTCCAACATATATGTCATTTATTGTTTCCCATTTCTGCTTCAGTACTATTTCTGTTCATTCAGAACAGAAAATAAAAATAAAAACAATTGTCTTGCCAGACCCCTTAGAAACTGTGAACAGAGAAGCTAACACCTCTTTGTAAGGCTTCATGAAACAGTGCCTCTGTGTTTCTTGCCTGTTTTGACAATGGCTTTTTTTAATGACAAAACCTTCATTCAGAATCTAGTTTAAATCCCTAGTATACTTCAATTATGTTAGTAGACATCCTATTCCCATTTAATAAAATACTAGGGCACATGTTCCAGTTGTGTGTAAGAAAACTGCAGTGATACTAGATGTACTCAGTGTTTGACTGCCCATGATGCTAATCTGTACTGCAAACTGCAAATTTATTCAATTCCTTCCTGGTTTTACATTTAGTATTCATCTATCGGTATGATTAGAATTTACTATTAATTTAGTATTCAATTACTGTAGTATTTATCCTAAATGCATCTGTTTTTTTTCCATAATTTCAGCCTTACTAGTTCTTTTCATATTAATTTTCTTCTTGGGTATCATCTGTAATTTTTCTCTCACCCCCACCTCCTCCGCCTTAGCTGAGCTTTTAAGGTTGAAGGATGCACATGTGGTTAAGCATTTGTAAGATCACGTTTAAAAGAGCAGATGTTTCAGGGTCAGAACACATTCCTCTCCACCCTACCTCATATATTTTCTTCTCCTTCTTAGGTCTTTTCTTCAGTGGAACTGGTTTTGAGGGGATTTTTGTCTGATTACGTCCTCTCAAGTGAAAAGCAAATTAGCTGAGAAGAGATTCCACAGCAAACATCAGACAACTGTGAAACAAAAGCAGCCAGGCATGAATGTTCACCACAATGAAAAATGATGACAAACTGTGTACACTTTAAAAGCTGGGATTAACAGCAAGTATCCACCTCTCAGCATGAGTCATTTCCCAGTTATTTCTGTACTTGATTGGATCAGCACCAAAGCTGCAAAGCATTTGCTGGGCTCCAGGTGTGTTGCAAAAGGTACTCCCCCACATATTATGAGTGGCCATGCAACTGAATGACCAGGTAAGCCATTTCAGCCAGGTAATACATGCAGGAGGTTGTTGCTTTGTGAACAAGAAAGGCTTCAGTCTCATATCTATCCACCATTGTTCTGCTCTCAAGCTTACTGTGCTTTACAAGCTTATAAATGTAAGCAATTTCAGTTGGATTACAGTGCAATTATGTAGTAAGAAACATACAGGCTAGTAACTTTATGTTTTTATATTTGTTTATGTTTTGTGTCATCACATGACAGAGATGTCAAGGCTTTTGGAAGCTATTAGTGACAGATTCTGCACAACTGGAGTTAAAAGAAATCAAACAATGCTTACAAGTATTGCCTGCAATGACATTAAGTCCAATATGTTCATAGCTGTCTAATCTATTCTAACAATGGACCCCAGAGCACTTCATTTTGCCAGACTGTAACCAGCTAAACATATTTAATTTCAGCTGAGTCACCTTGGCTGCTTTTATAGCCAAAAGATAGAAATCCATATCTCCAAAGGTGAGGAAAGGTAAACCAGAAAGAAAAAACCTTCTCCCTAAGCTCCAGAGGGAGATTAGCTGGATAGCTTAAATAGCTGAAGTTAAGAAAACCAGATGGGCTATGAAACCCACCTGTAGTCCATCTCCCTGGTGACAGGATGATTCATTGCCACAGTTCAGAGGGAAGAAGCAAAAATCTGTCAAGCACTCCAGCACAAACAGGCATATTTAACAGGCACATACCCACCAATGCTTTTTTATGGCTCTCTTAATTGATTAATGCTCTAGTCAATAATAACTATGTTAGGCCTCAGCCCCATAAGTGCATTTCACTTCTCAATTGTCTCATTAAAGGGAGATGAACTGTTCACCTGCTTACAATTAAACATATGTTTAAATGCCCACTGGCTTGGAGTCTCTTGTTTTGTAGCTTAGGTACAATTTATTCCCTTCATTGCACAAATTGTTGTTCCAGCTCTTTCTTTCATTATTATTAGTATTCCTGTTTTGCCAGTTTTGTCCATCTGGGAGCAGGATGTTTTCTTCATGATTAGAGGAGTGATTGCAAAGAGTGATTTCAGCAAGGTATCCATTCACTTTTTTTTTTTTTTTTTTTTTTTTTTAACCTTTTAATTTTTTTTTTTTTTTTTTTTTTTTTTTTTTTTTTTTTTCTGTCTTTAACCTTTTAATTTTAGTTTGTGTGTTTAAAACTACAAGCAGTGATAATCAAAATCTTCCCTGCTACTGATGGCAAAATCATTCATAATACAATTAGTTTAAATAAAACTATTGTAAAATTACTGCAGTAGTGGTTTCTACTATTCATGGAACTAGAAGTATGTATTCTCTGTACCAGTTACAAAGAAGATTAAAAGCAGTTAAATTGATTTTTGTTTCTTTTCCACAAGGACTTCTGATTTTAAGTGTATAATTACAGTTTTTAGAAAATATTTAGTAGAGTTCAGTTAATTAAATGTTTATGGAAAATAGAAAAATATCATTATTGAATTCTTCAAATTATTATATTTATACTAAATAATATTTGCAGTAAACTATTTTAAGAACTCTAAAGCCCTTTACCCCAATACTCATATGATGCAAAATGGGTCTATTTCAATCACCGTTTCTTGTAGCTTTCCAAGCTGAAGTTCAGATATTGAACAGCCTGGTTGTTTGGATCTGTAGTTTTGTTCTAACTCTGGCTGTAGCACTGCAGGTCAGTTGGCCTCACTCCCTGCCAGCTCCACTCTCTGCCTTTAGTGATGTCAGTGGAAGGACTGACTTGAGGCAGTAAATCCAACATCTTGAAAACAACAAAATGCACTAAATATATTATGTAACAAAATCTAATCAAGTTCTAACTCTAACCTTGCCCACCTTTTTCTTTCCATTGCAGATCATGCATTCTTCTGGGACAGCATTCCAGAAGAGCTTGCAAAGGTGACTCCTGTCTTTTCTTTTAACCTGATAACATTGTCAGGGATAATTTGGTTATCAATTTCACCATTATCTAGTTTGCCTTAGGATTCATTTCTGACTGACTATATTCTCTTGCAAACTCTCCTTTTGTTCTCCAACAGAAAGGTGCAGGAAGTTTCTGCCATAAAAATAATAGATAAGAACTTGCTGATTACATGTTCTATCCTTTAAAACAAGAGCAACATGAAAGCTCTTTGATTTTAAAATAGTGTCAGAAGGTGTTCTCTCCCACACCTCTCAGACATTCAATTCCTGTTGAATCTTTTTATGAGAAACAGAAGATGATGCCAAACTTACTCTTCTCATGCTCTAAAGCACACAAAAAAAACCCACCAAAAAAAACTAATACTATAGCACTGAGAAGGTGCCAAAACTGAGAGCTTTGCCTGTCTAGTCCAGACTCACCTGTTCAGAAATAGATGGAGGCAGGAAATAAAATGGCATTAAAACTTTGTCTCATGTCTCACTGAAGACTGTCCTGTGATTGCAAGCTTGCTTGAATTCTAGGGAATTATGTGGTGCTTATGATGTGCCTTAATGGGACCTCCAAACTTTGGCAGATTTTTCACAATTTCAAAATTCAGTGTATTTCTTTTCCATCCACATACCTGTTTGGTTACTTCATACACATGCATGAAGCCATTTTTTTTCTCTGCCTGAGTGGATTTAGCTATTACAAAGTGATCTTTGGCCCTCAATTTGTGACAGATTAGCTACCCTTCACTATTAAATGAAGTGAGTAAAGAATGGCAATGGTCTGTAAGCTTTGTACAAATATATTTCCAAGAAGCTTATCAAAATTTCCTATAGTGCAGGAAAAGAAGAGATTTAGCAAATATGAAATAATTTTAATTTTACTTTTTCATTATCATCAGTCAGCAAGGAACAGGCAAATGTATCATGTGCTTCCTATGGAAAATATTCTGCAAATTCTGGAAGCCTTCAACTATTTATTAAATTATCTAAAAATCAGAAATAATTACATACTCAAATGGACAGGCCAGTTTATACCCATCTGTAGCTACAGTAGGACACATGGGCCAGCTGGTGGAATCACACAAAGGATATTATATCACCAGGATACCACATCAACAGTACAAACTGTCATGAAATGCAGGAGGTATTTGATATTTTCTATCAAACACACATCCACAAGGTTCCACACTTGTGATAACCATGCCAGGTGGATTATGTAATGGTAACAGTTGTCCCAGTTGCAATGTGTTCCTCCTCGCTTCCCTTTATCAAGAGCCTCATTTTATTTCCTTGGCAACGAAATAGAATGACTTATTCACTGCACATTACTTACAAGAGCCATCTCTCCTTCAATTACTGCAAGCTTGCTATCAATTCAAATCTTTGCAGTTTTTAGAATTATTCAACTCTTTACTTTTGAGGTTTGGGATTTGATTTTTCAGAAAATAAGGATGGTAACTTTCCAGCCTGGGAAAATCCTGTTTTCTGCACATATCTAATAAAACAGTGGATACTATTTATTAATGCAATCTATTCTATTTAATAATTACTGACATTTATAATAATGTTTTTCTAGACCTCAATTAGAAGAAAATACAACACAAAAAAAAGTAAAAAAAAAATTATTCTTACCTGTAACAACTCAGCCATTTCCAGAGCTCTATCAACTCTATAAAATGGCTTTCATAAAGATTCAGCAAAAAAACAGTGAAGGCCTCAGATAGTTAGAATTAGTTAAAATTGGTTTATTTCTCTTCCCAAATTATGTGATATTTTAATGTATTATTCAATGCTCTGACATCTTCAAGTTTACCTGCCAAATTTAACAGAGAACATTCACAGTCTTCTCTACAGTTTAATGAGTCAAAGCCATGTGTATACAGATACCAGGGTCATCAGCATATAGAAGAATAAACATAAATTTCAAGCTAAATTTCTGCTTTGTTTCCAAACTATATTTTGAAATAAGGCAACACTGCCAGATAAATGAACCAAATGTAGTAAATCGTGAAGAATTTTCTTAACATGTCACTCACTGCACAAGTGATGGAAATACATGTTATTTCTACTACTGTACTCTGAAAGCCAAAGCACAAGTCTGGAAATGTTGCAGCCTTTGAGCATCTTTACTAGGAATTTTTCAATACAGGATATTCCCTCAAAACCCCAACTTTTAGAGTCACATGAATAAGTGTCCAGACAGGAAAAAAAAGTCAAGATCTGAATCATAAAACCTGAAAACCAAAGAAGGGCGGCGGGGATAAAGCTATCACTTCTACATTTTCAATTATTTTAAGGAATTCACAGCCTTGAGTCACAAGCAAAGGAAAGATAAAATGTGACACACGGACATGGAGGTAAAGATAAATTTATTATATATATATATTAGAAATGTGCTGCTTGTAAAACAAGCTTCCAGAAACTGGTAGCAAAAAAAAACTCAAAAGACAACTATTAACAGAGAGCAGCATTTTTGGTCTTTGTAACAGCAGTGAGTTACATCACAGCAAAACAAAGCAAACTGCCTGGATAGGAATAATCTTGCACAGCATTATCCTCTGGCTGTATGTGTGCTGTCAGATCTTCTGAGATCCTAGATTTAAAACAACCAAACAAACAAACAAAAATATCCCTTCCTAGCATGCCAACATCATCCAGATTTACCAAGACTTGTACAGTAAGCATTCAGAAAGGCAAGCAACCCTACATTCCCTAGACAGAGCAACAAATAGGTACATCCCACTTGCAGATCCTACCAACACTACACCAACTCACAGCCTCATAAGGGTGTGGTAATCCTAGAAACCACACAGTTCTTTCCTGCTGAAATTACACATTTCCATTATTTTCAGAAAGCTTTTCTCTATGGGGAAGAACAAGAAGATTGCCATTAACGAAATGATTCCTTGATAATTTAATTAATTATCCTATCCTATCCATTATCACAGCAAATAAGTCTTCATCTTCTTACATAAATATCAGAATATATAAATGAAAATACATACAATTTGTACTTTATACTGTATAGGATGGGAACGTGCCACATACAGGTTTAGATAAAGCTAATCAGATCAGTTATGATCTTTTTATAAAAAATATTTTACAGATTACTCTTTGTTTATATGTAATATTAGAGGCAGTTCTTCAATACTAGTCCTACATTATCTTGCAATTAGAGGTTGCTGTTCATCCCACAGGAACGTCCAGCTGATCGCAAAGACTTTATTGACTCACTGCTGTCTTTGATGTATTTCTCTTGGCCCCTTGCTTACAATCAGTAGCATTAAAAACACCAATCACAATCACAAAAAACAACCAAAGAATGTATCTGCTAGCTAGCAGTTCTTAACCTTTTATGAGTTGCCATCCCTTTAAAAAATACTTCAAAAAAACATTAAAGCATGACAAGCCTTCTTTGTTTTAGTGCTTCTTTACAGATCCTGGAGAAATAATGGATTCTCATTGCTCCCTGGTGCTAACACTAAACATCCCTCTTACCAGTCAAATTGTTCAACATTAAACTTCCAAACTTTAGATGTCAAGTGCATGATGATAACCAATAAACAGAATGTTTCCATTTGTTGCCTAAAGTCATCTAAAAATAATGAGCTCTTCTCTCATTTTTCTTATCACTGTGCAGATACATAATAGTCATAGAAGTAAAGCAAAGGCCTAGGAAGATTTTTCTCCTCTGAGAAGTAGCCAATTCAGTGGAAAAGCCTGAGGACTTTGATCTAACCCAGCATCTGGGAAATGTAAGGTTATTCCCCATCCACTATATGTTTTTCTGTAATTCAATTAATTTTACTTTACATGAATTGCACAATTGATATTTCATCACTTCTCATGGCAGAAACTCATTAGTAGCCCACTCTTTTCTGTTCCAGTAGTAAAAGGACAATGTGCTATTTGTAATTATTTCCTAACCAAATAATAACATAAATTTTGTTTGGTCTTGCCTATAGTATTGTGTGGTGAAATGCCAACATCAAAAATAATAATGAAAGCATTTAATACAAATTATGCATCAACACAATTGCTGTAATTACAAGCAGTACTCCTGCATTCCAATGTGACCCAGAATCATGACAGATTAAAACATTAAACAGACCTACATTTGCCAAAGAAGCTTTGTCACTCAAGATGACCCAGTCCCAGAAGATGCAGAAAGAGGAATTCAACACAATGAAACTGTTTAGTGTGGGCCTAAAATTTACAGCCTTGAAAATATACAAATATTATAGAAATCTGTTCTGATGGAGCAGCATGGCTGTATTAGATCTTTCCTGCCCTCGATTTAACCTGACATAACCAGTGGATGGATAACCCTGCAGAGGTGATGATTGATCTCTGAATCACGGGGTGAGTTAGAAAGCTTTGCCAGCTGAGATTTGTCTCGGAAATCTGCAAAGTTGGGATGTTTTGCAACCATTTAAAAAATACAATGTAGGATAGAAGTGAGACAAATGGCTGCCCGCACTTTCTGGAGCTGATATCTGTTTATATTGCAAAACTATGCAGACTAGCAACCAGTGAATGATTGTTCCTTGGATGAATTTGGTGCCTTCATTCCTTGTGAAAAGAAATGCATGTTATTTCATACAACTTCATCTGAAAATAACAGGTGTTTGATAAAGTTATCACTATTACTATGTATTTATTATTTATGAATTTGTGACCATAAAAGAAGCATCTATAAATGTGATAGGGAAATACTGATTGCCTTTTCAGTGGTATCTTCTTAGATGAAGATTTTTTTGCCAAGTCTCTCCAGATATGTGTCACTGATTCCCTGCATACCTTTCTGATTCTCTAATCCACTACTTAATGCTTCTTTTTTGCATCTGGGATGAGACTGTCCCTGCATTATTTAATCTTCAAGCAAATTCAAGTGTTCACCCCTGTCTGCATAAAGGAGACAAAGAGCTTCATGAGTTGAGCTGCTGAAACTAAGAAAGGCTTGTCTAAATGTTTCTTATCCCATA